CCCCCAGGAGCCCCTTGTGGCCTCATGAAGTTACATTCAGTCTGGCATTCAGAGCCCTTGGTCTGGTTTGAATCTGCCTTTGCAGCTACTTGTCCTGCTGCCGCCCGCTCTCCACGCAGGTCCCCTGTATCCCAGCCACACCGTGGATGGGGCAGGCTGCCTTGCTGTGCTCTCACTCTGCCCTCTGCCCAGGTGCCTCTTCCCTTCCTGTTGAAATCTTGCCTATTTTCTTTTTAATCAAAAGGGGTACCGTGCACTGGATGAGCCATTGCAACAGCACATAAGGCTGTACAAGCACAGGGCCTGCTCCCTCTCCAGCACCGGCAGGCCCTTCCTCGAGGCAGCCGCGGCGAGGGGGCCGTGCTGCCCTCCTCTCTTGCTGCCTCCACTTGTCAGTGTATCTTAAAGAGTGTCCGTATCTGTACCATTAGAATTGCCTCATTAAAATTGCGGTGAAGGTGACATGATGTTCCTGTCCATAACTGCACCATGGCTTATGTAACCTGTCCCCTGTGTGTGGATGTGTGTCTAGGCTGTCCCCAACTCCAGGGGTTCCCGCACGTAGGCCATGAGTGCTCTGTGTCATTGGCCCCTTGCAGAGGGGCCTGTTTCCGACTCAGCTCCAGCACCTGCTCCTCCTGCGTGCCTTTGGTGGATCTAATGCCTGTGCTCCCAGCACTCTCTCTGCCTGAGTCCTGAGGACAGGGATTGTGGTCGACCTTCCCCTTTCAGTGTCTGCTGTGTTTGCGACCACCCAGTTCCCAGGTGCTCTGGTATTTACCCCCTGCTGCCTCTGTCAGCTCTGGTGTCTTGTGGGGGCTCCACCGGGATGCCTCTGTCCAGCTGCGTGCTTGGTGCCTAGTGGCTGCATCAGAGGGACTACCGTGTTTCCATGGCAATAGACTTCCACAGCATCATTCTTACTGTCTCACCAGAGGGATGGGCCATAATACAGCCAGTCCCCTCCCCTCTTGATGGAATTTGGCTGTAAAAATTTTGATAGAATTTCCATTTTAAGATATTTTAAGGGGACAGAGGCTTGGGTGTCCATTGCTGAGAAAGGCTGAGGCCCCACAGGCTCCCCCAAAACTATCGTTTACTGAGCACTTCCTCAGATGAGCTAGGGCTTCTCACTGAGCAGGGGGCTTGAGCTCTGGTTTCAAGTGATGCAGTAATCTGAGGCTGTCCCTGTTTCACAGAGAGGGAAACTGAGAGTAAGTAACGTGGCAAAGGTCACTCAGAAAATATATTTCAAGAGCTGGGGTTCCAAGCCAGGTGTGTTTGATTGGACCTAGGCCTGTAACCACCTAACCCCCCTGCCTCCTTAAGGAAAAAGGAATGGGAGGACAGGTCACCCACCCGGGCCCTGGGCCAACGGCTGGCTGACCCCGAACAGAACCGAGGTTGCACCCAGAAAGACGATGGCCGCCATCAGACCTCGCCTCCCTCACTGAGGCAGCACAAAGCGTCCCTTTGAAGAGACAGTCCACGAGCACCCCTCTGGGCGCTCTCCCGCCTGGCGTGCCCCAACTTGCTCCCAAGCCAAGTGTCCAGGGGCTGGCGGGCATTTCTGGCTCAGCTGTCTGGCCAGAGCTCGGAGGAGTGGTCTGAAATGCTTTCCTTGAGCAGATCACTCTCGGTCAGAACGTGTGGCTTCCAGGGCCGGGTGGTGTTGAGGCTGCCTGGCCTCCTGGTCGCGCTGGGAGCCTGTGGACCGCCCCCAGCCGCCCTCCCCAGCAGGCCGGCCTTGACAGTATCGATTTCCCGCCTTCCCTTCCCTGCTTTTGCACTTTGGATGAACCTTGTTTCGAAGAACAGTAGAAGGTAATTTTCCTGGGCTTGCCAGCTGGCCCGTAATTGAGCAATTTCAATAACACCCACTGTAAAATCTAATCGAAGTAAACAGGAAAATATGATTTACAATCTGGACGGCAAGTAAATACCAGGGTGCAATTAATTTTTACCCGGAGCAGCAGATTCTAAAACATTTTCCTGCACTGAGCAGTTTGTTTTTAATTATAGATTAGGAGCTGCCTTTCTATGTATTGCTGTTATCATCACTACGCTTCACTTTTTGATGGTGATCTTCAGGCTCCTTGTGTCCACGTGACTTTCTTTGAAGGTGTAACCACAGAGCGGTGGGGTGAGAAATAGGATCAGACAAGTTCGTTTGTAAGGGGCTATTTTTCAGACCTGAGCTGAAGGCTGCACTCTCAGCGTTTGCTTGGTGGAACGTGGTGGTGGGTCGGGGACATGTGACGGCTGTGTAGAACGGTGATACGAGGGGGGTCCTGTTACTGCTGGGAGGCCACGTGGTGTGGGCAGGCCATGCATGGGCTGTGACTTCGTTTGCCTCATTCTGGGGAAGGGAACAAAGCTACAAAGGTCCCCGGTGTTGCGAACGTGTCATTGTGGGAGAGCGGCGCTTCCAAGGATGGGAGCTATGTGCCTTTAAATGGACCCCCTGATTATCCCAGCACCTTCTGTTTATAACTGGGCGGAGAAGACTAACCACCTTGCTGACGACTGGTCCCCTGCTGCCAGCTGCCTGTCCAAGGACTGCCCTCTTCGGTTTTGATTCTGGGGTCAGTGTGTGTGAGAGACGCTCAGCTTAGGGTGGGCAGACACTGAAGCCGTCTGCAAAGGCAGCTCAGTGTAAGATGTCACATGACTTGAGCATTCTTGGGGGACATCAGATCGTGAGCAACCCAGACCCTGAGATAATGTCTTAAAGACACCACGTGGTTAAACTGACATCCATCGTTGTACCCACCATGGTGTTCGTCGGCTTTAGGGACCCTCCAAGGTTGGCATGGGGGGTGGGGACTCTGATTATGGCTTTGGAGGCCCTCCCAGAATGCATCTCTTTCTGCAGCACGGACGGGAGTGGACAGCTCTCTCAGGGCCCCGGTCTTCCCCAGTCCTGAATCTCCATGCCTTTCTTTTGTCTTTCCAGGGAGTTGACCACACTCGGCCATTTTCTGTAAGAGCCCCACCCCGAGGGTGAGCGACTGATGGGGAGCTGTTTCTGCTGACATCACTCACCTGGGAGGTGCCCAGGAGATCACCTCTGCCCAAGTGTGCCCAACGAGATGGCTCGTGCCCACCCTGGGACAGAGCCCAACGCCTGAGGTCCTTACCATGGTGATGATCCTAAGGAAAAGCCTCAGCAACCAGGGCCCTGACTCCATAGCGTGCAAGACCTTCAACTCTGAGCTGGTAAGGACCCACTGGGCCTTGTCTCTCTGGTGACCCTTTTTGAGGCCCGATGTCCAGCTGGGGCTGTGGACTGAGCATGCAGGCCTAGCAGACTGAGTGCAAAGTGCCCGAGAGCAGAGCTCTGAGACGATACAGGCTGGAGCACGGGGAGGGGGGCAGAGGAGCCCAGAGCCTGGCTAAGTACTTGCAAGAAGGAAGTAGCCGGTTCAGACCGGAGTCTTCTGGTGAGCGAGGAGGAAAGGCCAGCACCCTGGTAAATAAAACCAAGTGTGGTCCTGCCACCCTACCAGGCTGTGACCGACATTCCTTCTGGTCCCCTCCCAGGAAGGGGAGGTGGCACCTCGAGTGAGGGCCCAGATAAGGCCGTACCACCAAAGGGTGGTGCGGAGTGAGAGCTGCTGCCCCAGGAATGTCAAGAGTGGGAGCAGATGGAGGAAGAAGGCGCAGTCTGGCGGCCAGTGGTGGGCTGTGCTGACAGCTGCCCTTTGGCTTCCGTCTGCCAAAGTTGTCCTCGGAACAAGTGGCCTGATGGTCTGGGCCTGAGAGGCAGACAACCAGGCCTTCTCAGACTGAGAACGAAACAGCCTCCTAACTGTCCTTGCAGCCTTCATTCCTCAGAAGTGAGCCGGGCTGCTCCCCACAGAGGGAACAGGCACAAACGCTCTCGTGGAGGAGTTTTATAGATGGGCGAGTCCCCAGGACTGTGCAGTGTCAGCAGGGGAGGCCCGCTGTCCGGGGTCACACCACCCAGCGCCCGTCCTGGTGCCCTGCACAGCCCCTGATGAGAACCCACACTAGCGCTCTTATGGGCTCCTTTCATAGATCTCTCACCAACAACCAAGCCGAGAGCCGGCAGGCGGGTCTCTGGCCCTCGCAGGAGCTTTTGAAAGCCACCGAGACCTGTGTCCACCCTGCAGGCCTTCACAGAGCACCTCGGGTGTGTCAGGCGCTGGGCTGGAGGAATTCCACAAACGAAGATGAGTCAGGCTCTGCCCGTCCCTACTTCCGTTCCAATTTGCCTTTAATATATATCTGTAATTAGATCCCCTCTCACCATCCCCACTGCTGCTGTCCTCTCTCGCCTGGATTCTTGTGGTAACTGGTCCCCGGCTCTGGCTGCTTCAGCCTGTTCTCCACCCAGTAGCCAGAGGGAACACAAGTCATTTCTGTCCCTCCTCTGCTCAGAACCTTCCACCGGCTTCCCATCTCAGGCCGAGCAAACACCAAAGCCCTTCCTCAGATGTATAAGGCCCCACATAGCCCCCCAGGACTGCTCTGCATTCTGCTGCCCCCTGCCCCCCATTCACTCTGCTCAAGTCGCATTGGCCTCCTTGCTCTGCGTGCCAAGCACTCGCCTGCCTCAGGGCCTTTGCACTTTTTCCACGGCCTGAACACTCCCCCTTAGCAGGACTCTCTGCTTCCCTCCCTTTCTTTTCTGGTCAGTTGACTTAAAATTTAATTCTGCTACCACCACCCTTAAACAGCCCCCCCCCACACACACACCGCCCTTTCTGTCCCCTTTCCCCATCTCTCTTCCCTCTTGGGCACTTGCCACTTTCTAATATTGGGATCTTGTATATTGAACGACTTCTGCACTAGAATGTGAGCTTGACAAAGGCCAGACATTCAGTCTCTTGCTTGCTGCTGAATACTCAGTGCCTGAAACCCAGGCCTAGTACATGGGAGGTGCTCAGTGGATGTTTGTAGAGTGAATGAACGTGGGTCCCCATAGCCCAGCGTCTTCTCAGCCCGCCGTTGTTTTAGTCCCTTCCTGGCTGCTGCTGAGGTTGCTCTGCTTTCTGTTGTTGGGTGTTTTCCTGGTGAATCTAAAGGGCACATCTAGAGTAGCTCTGCCCAGAAAGGAATGGCTGTCAGGGTGAGGGCCTTCTGGAGGACCCAAGGGAGGATTCCTGCTGGGTCCAGTTGCACTGTTGGCCTCAGCAGCTGCCGCTGAACTTGGTCCCATCCCAGGGCGAGTCTGGCTGGGGCTGGCCATGGAGCTGGTTCCAGGGCACGTGGGCCCAAGGTCAGCTGAGCCGTTCCTCGAATAGACATGGCTTGAGCCCATGCCAGGAGTGTGGCCTCCCAGCCCTAGCGGGGAAGGAAGACTCAATTCCTCAGAAGAGAAAAGGAAAGAAAGTCAAGGGCAGCAAACGGGTCATTGCGAGGGGCTGTGCGGTGCAGCTTAGGGTCCTCCCTGTCTTCCCAGACTCGCTCCCCGTCCTGGAGAGTCATCGGCTGCCCCAGGCCCATGACCACCCAGAGCTTTGGGCCCAGCTGTTCCCTTCCCCTTCCCTCCCCTTAACTCCAGATGGGCAGGTCAGCTGGGAGGAGCGGCCGCCTTCGGAAGGGGGCTTTCTCATTGTCAGTTTGATGGTGCCTCACAGGTTGTTGGCCACAGTCCCAGCCTGGCTTGGTTCTGCTTGTACAGGACGAAGCCCAGTGTGGGCAGGCGGGCCGGCAGGCGCACGGCTGCACCCAGCGGCTTGGACGGGTGCTTGCAGGAATCCCGCCACCCTTCCCTCCTCTGGAGCCTGCCCCCACCCTGCTGAGGGGCAGGGGCACGTCCACCTCTACCCTGTTAGACAGACAGGAAACTGCTGCTCTGAGAGCCCAGGGGGTTGGGGGGACCCAGGCCACACAGCTGGAGAGCAGGGTGCCCGGATGCAGCCTTCAAGTCCAGGCCCTTGTGTCCTGCACCCCAGACCTGCGCGCACAACCTAGCCCCGCTCCTGAGGACTCCACTAGGCCTGGGGCAGTGGCATGGGCTCAACAACCAAAGAAAGACCCCAAGTCATCTCAGTCTAGTGGTGACATCCACCAGACGGAATGTGAGATAAACCGATGTTCGAGTTTGCTCTAAGTGGCCAGTGAGATTGAGAGGAAGTTAGTGGGGGTTTTGCTTCAGCTTCCTAAACTGGTAACATCATCCTCATGTAAATACCATCAAGATAATAACAGGAAAGGTGGAAAAGCATTTCTCTTTTGTTTTCTAATCAGACTAAGAAGATAACAGAAGTGGGGGTTTAAGATTACAAAAGAAAATGTGAATCACTACAGGCCACCTTGGAATTGTGGGAACAGATCCCAGAGGCACAGCAGCGAGGAAAGAAAGTCCAGAATTGCAGGTGAAAGCCACATGGGGGGGCCTTGAAACACAGGGTGAGGAGAGGCCCGCAGATGCTCTCCTGGGGCCTGGCCAGGCCACCCCCCATCCTCTTAGGAACCCACTTAATAGTGGTGGTTCTCCTTTTTCTAAAACCTAAATGCTGCTGACAACGTGACTGCCCCTACTCCTGAGAGAGATGAAGAAAAACAGAAAAAAGAACTGAGAACGCTCCATAGGTTTTGCCTCTCTCCAGGGAGAGGTGGCCGGGGGCCTCGCAGTGGCCCAGCCAGCTGGGCTTGCACAATGGGCAGCGATGCCTGCCCTCGGTTCCCCTTTGCTCCACTCCGCTGCCGGCCGTTTTCCCCTGCCGAGTGGTCTCTTCCTTCTAGTGTTCTAAACATTAGCTGCTGCTGCTGGCAGGCCGCCCAGACATTTGGCCTCAGGAGCAGCGTTCCCCCAGCCCCTTCCCGCGTGCTCACGCTCAGGCGGAGGGCCTGTTCTCTCGCACCAGGCTGACCATGTTCCTGGCCAGGCCCGGCCGCCTCCCCAGAAACTCTCCCAGGCCTCTCTCAAGTCTGGAGACCAGAGGGAGCTGGGGGTGCATCGCTCCCGGGCAGAGGGCAAAGTGTGGCTCCAGGCGGCCTCCCATTCCCAGCCTCGCAGTATTTCCCACAGCAGCCGACGCTGGTTTGTGGAGTAGGCCCTTTCTTCTGTGCTTGTCAGGCTAGGGTGCCAGGGCGAAGTGACTTGTTCCATTGGAAGAGTTAGTGGCTACATCAGGCCTTGCACCTAGCTGCCTAGGCCCCGAGGGTCTTCATATTCCTGGTCACCCGGAGTTGGCGTTGGGCTCAACAGGCCCGCCAGCATCCCTGGCAGGCCACAGGCTGGCCTGAAGTTTGTTTAAATTCAGAAATGCAGAGTCCGAGGCAGTCGGTGCCTTTTCCCCGGGCAGGCAAAGACGGCCAAGGGGCCTCCCTCCGTGCCTGGGCTAAGCCTGAGGCTAGGGGAGCCAGGGCCACCACCGTCTCTCCATCCGCGTCTTTGAGAGTCTCCCACGCGCTACTCCCTTCTCGGCTTCTCTTTTCCTCTCGGGCCTGCCTCTCCCTTCTGCTTTCCGCGGCCACGGTCTCTCCATGTTCCGTTCTAGAGGCTGGGGTGCCCTGCCTGTTCCCCTCACGTGCATGAGTGTGATCTTGTCTATATGGCATTGCGGTTCCCTGGAACACTGCGTCAGGGAAAGGAAAAAGTGAAGTGACCGCCTTAGTCAGTAATCTGCAGAAGAAACTTAGCAAGCGGCACGAGCATGGGAGAGGGGTTTGTCGCTCTCTGTCTGAGCCAGTTCCTCATTAAAGCAAGACCTGAATCGTGTCTTTATTTAAGTCAGGGCTTCTTTCCTTAGTCAGAGACATGGCCCCTGAAGCCTCAGTTTGATTTGCAGCTTTTGCCTTCCCCATGAAGGATCCAAGTCCAAACCTTCTCTCCTGAGCCGAGGAATCTCTCAGAGAGCAGGCCCTGCCCTGGGGGAGACTCGGGAACAGAGGCTTCCCAGTGGGAGAAACACCGAGGAGGGCTGTGCTCATTGTCCTGTGTCACTGTAGACACCGCCAGGGCCCGGGCATGCACGTCTGTGCACGTCTGTGTGCACACTGAGCGTCTTGTGAAACCTCAGCGGGTGAGTCCCCCCCAGGGCCCGTGGGTCCTCATCACGTAGGGATCAGCTCAGCCTTCCCGCAGGGGGTCCAAAGTGGGTGCTGAGGGTCTGAAGGGTCGGAGAGGCTGGCTGCAGAATGGCACAAACAGTGGGAGTTTTATCCTGTATTGGGTATGCTAGGAATAAAATGGCTCTGGGCAACCTGGAGCCCGTGGGAGCCTCAGTGTTGGACCTTGGGATGCCTGCCAGTGGTTAGGGTGTGCCCGGGGCCTGACACCCTGGGAAGCTGTCAGGTTCGGGATGTTCAGGCCTGCCCACCGCCGGCCCAGCCCCAGACAGGGCTCAGAAAGCCAGATGGGGGGCCCTGAGCCCATCGTTTATTTATTTCTGTCTTTAGCTACCTCAACAGGCGGCAGAAAGCCCAGAGGAAAGTCATTAGCCCATGACAAGTTTAGGCCTCATGGTTGGCCTTCAAATTGCCACTGTCCTATCATTTGTCCATAATGACTTCGATGGACATTCTCTACATACACAAACCTGTTTGCCTGCATTGACCATCAAGAAGAGGAAGAAGGCAAAGAAAGAGGAGAAAGCTGCGTTTTGTTAAAAAAAAAAATCCAAAAAATCTACACTACACTATAAATATCTTCTTGGTTAAGCGAATTGAACTTATTTCCTCGTGGTTCTGAAAACCTCCGCCCAAGCATCACTTCTAGCAGTTGCATGGCTTACGCAAACATGAGCGTCTTGAAGTCCTGCACGACACCGGCCGGGGTCCCTCAGTTGTAAGCAGCAGACCATCTCTGGCTAACTCAACACCGAAAGGATTCCCTGGAGCCCTGGGAGAGAACTATCGGACTGGAGAGGAGTTGGCGAATGAAGCCGCAGAAAGGGCTGAGACGGTGCTGCTTGGGGGGGTTGGAAGCAGGTGCTCACGACCGGCTCAGGGCGTTCCCACTGTGTGACCCAGCCTCAGCACCCACTTGGTCCAGGAGTCAGAGCCTCGGAGCTACGAGTGTCTGGTCAGCCGTGCCTGTGTCCTGTGCGCACCCCATACAGGGGCGATCGAGGCCCAGTCCCACCATGACACAACCCAGTGAGGGGGGCAGGAGCCCCATTGCAGAACTGGGGTGCTGTTAGAAGAAGGGGGGCTGTAGCATGGGTCTGTACAGTTTCACATGCTCAGTGAGGGGACCAGGAGTGGGGATCCCCTAGAATGGGGGACCTGGAGAAGGGGTTCTTTCAAGTTGTAAAATCTCACTGTGAGCGATCACTGGTCCACCTGTGTCCTTGAGTGCAGAGCCATAGAGGAGCCTGGGCCCACTTGGGGTCACCCCCCGACTCTGTCCGCCTGCTGCTGTCTCCCCTTCCCCACTGAGTTTTGATTCGGCATGAGCCCAACAGGTCCTGCCCCGTGGAACTCCGTTTTCATTGGCCCTGCATTCGTCGGGCCTGTGGCAGCAGGAGCAGGGGGCTGACAGGTGGCCATAGCAGTCGGTCAGCAGATAGTCCTGTGGCACCTGCTGTGTGCTGGGAACGTCGTGGACAAGACAGAAGCCTCGAGAAGCTGAAGTCTTGGGGGGAGCAGAGAGTAGGCATAGAAACAAATGAACTGATGCAGGCGATGCAAATGTTAAACGAGGCTGCGTGGAGAAAAGCACAATGGGCAGGGCGCCCTTTCCGCCAGGTGCTCAGGGAAGGCCACCGAGGGGGCCGCATGACAGGAATGAGACCCAAAGCCCATCGTGTAAAGACCCCACCGCAAAGGCCCTGGGGTGGCAGTGAGCTGGCTGGTCCCACAGAGCTGCTTGAGGGAGGGTGGGATGGACTGAGCGAGGGTTGACGGTACCAGGCTTGGCTCACGTGGGTCTGGTGGGCTGTGGCGAGAGGGGGCGGCCTGGGTTTTATTCTGGTTGCTGTGGGAAGTTGTTGGAGGGTGGTAAACAGAGGAAAACAGCTGGCCTCTGCAATGTGGGCTGAGAATGGACCCAGGGCTCAGGGCATAGGCAAGTAAGGAGGCTGGCTCAGCCTCAGCAGAGGGCAGTGGTGTCCGGAGCAGGACAGAAGGTCAGCGAGGAGCACAGCATTCCAAGTGTGTGTTCTCCAAGCTTAGACACGGGTCTGCAGCAAATGCTGAGCCAGTGAATGAGTGACTGAATGCCTGGGGAGCCCCTGTGTGCTGGCCCAGTGGCTCCCCTCTGTGGGCACAGACCCCAGCAGCTCTGGTGCCCTCTCACATGTCCGCATTGCTTGGAAGGGCCCCGAGGTGCCCTCTGTCTGGAACGACAGCTTAGTGGAAGAACAAGGCCAGCGAGCAGTGACACGTCAGCGGGTTGGCTCGCTGTTTGCTTCCTGCTGTTGTCTGTGGACCCCAAGCCCTCCTCAGTGGCCCCTGAATCTCAGCGCAGCCAACAGGCCACTCGAGGCTTCCCGCTGTCTTCTGTGGTCCACGGCCTGATTCTGGTTTGGGTTTCTGTGGGCTCCCAGCCTGGGTAGCTTTGTCCCCCGCCACCAAGCATGGGGTGGGCTGCCTGCTGCGGTTCCCCAGTGGGTGTTTGCTTTGTGCTGGGGTGTTGGAGCTGTCTCCCACTGTAGGCAAGCCCAGCTTTTCTTCCTCTGAGCCCAGCAGGGCTCTCGAGTTCGTCACCTTTTGTCCATTGGGTGCTTTGGTACGGGCTTTCAGTGTGCATCCTGCTGCATTAACTGAGTCAGCTGGAAGAGAGGCGGGCACAGCCAGCCCCTTCCCTGAGTGGCTGTAGATTAGATAATTCAGTCTCTGGAATCCAGGAGGGCTTCCTGTCCTGCAAGTGTAAAGACTTTTTCATGTGGGGGAGGAGGGACTGGAGAAGTCCTTACCCTGTGTAAGCTCCTTTTGGTCCTTCACCACCGGCTCCAGTGTCTCCCCCAGGAACCCAACCTTGACCTCCGGCCCCCCGGCTCCCACAGGCTGGTCATCTTTCCCCCAGTCTCACTCTGTCTCTAGTGTAGTGGTTTGTCTGCGTGCTGTGTCCTCTATGAAATGGGAGCTTCCTGAGGGCCGAGGCACGTGGCCTCCATCTCTGCCCCAGGCTGGTCAGGATGGACCGTTAATAACCCGATTGGATGACCACTTATCTGACTGAGGGCAAAAGTCCCCAAATCAGGCAGCCGGGGATGGGTGGGGAGCTGGTGCCAGGCGCTTGCCACTCTTTTATCCGGTTCCTAGGTGGCCCTGCCGTCATCCTTCCAGGCCTTAGAAAACCAGGGCCTGGGTTCCCCCCCACTTCTTGGACTAGAAGCGGTGCATGTGCTGGGGCTCCTCTGGGGCCCTCTATGACCACCTGACTCCTCGGGCTGACAGCTTCTTTCAGTGTCACATGACCAGCCCCTAGCATGGCCTGCATGCACTTAAGTACTTACCAGTATAGATTTGTTAAATGAGTGAGTGAGTGAGTGAGTCTTTGGAACACTTGTGACAGATACTTCTTCCTGGGACCCCGATGGGCACAGTGTCCTTCTCCCCAGAGGTAAGGGCAGGCCTCTTCACCTGGGTCTCAACTGGCACGAGGGACCCAGTGTTCCATGCTCAGGTTCCTGCAGCTCCGGGGCAAGTGCTTGGACTCAGCCCCTTCTGGACCTCACTGGCCTGTTCCTCGCCAGTGGCCACAGCGCTCCCCAAGGCCAGGTGTGGGGTGGAGGGGAGATGCAGGATGTTCACAGTGGGGAGGGAGACCATTGTGGCAATACGGTGCCCAGGAGCTCAGAAGCCATAGCTGTCTGTCGAGAACAAATAGAATCTTCCAGTTACTCTTTCATTTCCAAGAGGACACCTGGGGGCCTCGTCAGCGTCAGCGACCCTCCTGCACTTCGCCCGATGCTGACACAGGAGGGGCTGTTCTTGTCGCTGGAAGGGAGGGACCTGGGGGTGGCAGGAGGGGTCTCTTGCTGCCCCCGAAGTCCCCTGCTGTCCCCGCTGGGGCTGTGAGGAGGCCTCTTCTCAGCCCATCTCGGTGAACTGGGCACATCACACCTCCTCCCGCGCCCTCCCCCACATCACTCGCATGGAAAAGTCCCCCCCATGTCACAAGTCATGCGGCTTTCTTGTGGGTTTTGAAGCCCATTAATTTGACGGACACCATAACTCACTGGAGACTTCGGACAAAGAGTCCAGGCCTAATTATGGGCAGATGTTGTCTCTTTCCATGCTTTTCTCGCCTTTCCCCAACCTGACGTCGGCAAAAGGCATTCACCCCTCTAATTGTGACTTTAGCGAGGGATCAGTGCAGGGTCATGTGCAGACGCGCTTCTTATGACTTGAAGAGTGAATAGCTTTTCTGGTTGTTTTCAGCACACGCCAAAGAAGATGAGTCGCGGACCGACACTTTTCTCTTGTGGAATTATGGGTGAGTAACCGAGGTGGCTGTGAGCAGTCCTTGCCTAGTCCTCCCGCCAGGGCCCGAGTCCTCCAGGTGAGACGCTAAGGCACAGAGAGCAGCTGTGGGGACCCTTTTCTGTGTGTTTCAACTGTTTTGGTCCCCGCGGTGCTGGAGTGGTACGGGGGCAGCTGGGACAGGCACTGGCGTGTGGTTTACTAATGTAATTCTCACTACAACACTGAGAGTTTCTTTCTGTCTGATTATTAAAGTAACCGTGTTCCTTTTTTTTAATTCAGAAAAAGCACCATTGGATAAAGCATGAAATAAAAACCTCCCGTGGCCCCAATACCCAGTTAAAACTACTGTTCAGATTTTGGTGTATTTGTTTGTTTGTTTGTTTGTTTGTAGTCAAGTCCGTGATGAACATATAATTACACAAAATTATATACCAAAAAAATATATCTCTCTTGCTTTGTTTCACTTAGTAATAGTTACCATCATTTCTCCACAGCATTAAAATTGTCCATTCTGTGCATTTTAATGAGTCTGTGGTACTCCATTGTGTCGATGTCTTAAAATGTGTTTAGTGGTTTAACTATCGTTTGCTTGTTGGGTAGAAGGGTGTTCTGTTTGCTGCTGTGATTAACAGTGACTAAGTGTCTAAGCTTCGTCTGCCTCCTCCTGGGTGTTCCTCAGGCTGGTCCCCAGGAGCCGGGTAGAAGGGCCGGAGGGCAGGATCGGAGTTAAGGCTCTTGCTTCGTGCTGCTGACATGCTTTCCAGAAAGGTTGCCTCAGTCCCGCTCTCATGCAAGTGTGAATTACCGTTTTTTATAAGGGGCTGAAATCGACTGTGTCGATTTCTCGTGCTCCAGATGCTTCGGCACCGTTTCTCCCTTCGCCGTCTGTGTCTCCATGACTCCTGCCCCCTCTAGGGACACCTTGGCGTTGAGTTTCTATAATGTCTGTGCTGAGGCAGCAGGCAGGCTTCCACGATGAGTAACCGCTGTGGGCTTTCATATTTCAGGTGTGTCTTGGCAGGGCTGCGTACAGTCCTCCTGGCCTCTTCCTTGGCCCTTCCCCTGTGAACAGCGTTTTCTTCCTCTTCTTTAGACCCAGCTCCTGACCGTGGGATGATGAGGGTGGGGGGTGCTGGGCCACGCCTCTTACACGCAGGATCTCCTTGAATCAGCAGCAGCTTCAGGGGCGGCTGAGGCCTAGGGATGTGACCTCCCAGGGCCCTTGGTGGGCAGAGTTGGACCCAGGTCAGGGCAGAAGGAAGATTGTTTTCTTCTCAGTCGCAAGCCATAGCTCTGAGGGAGAGCCCCGGCTGTCCTCTTGGTGTCAGCACCAGAGGAAATGGAGACAGGCAGATCAGCTGGCCTTGGTTTACCCGTGTGACACACTTCTGAGGCCTGTCTCCATATGGGGCTCGATTGAACACCTCATTAGTGGTTAACGGCTTTCTGTGAACCCTCAGCGACCAGCCTCGTGGCCCAGAAGCCTGCCTCATCGGGGCCTGCCTTCCTCTGGCACGGCCAGGAGGAGAGGCCCCCCAGGCACGCCCAGCCCCCAGCCCAGCCTGGCCTTCCGCTGCAAACCGGGCCAGACCGGAGACCAGGTTGTGGAGACGTCGGTCTTATTTCAGGGCTGCCCCTGCAACAGGCTTTCGGTCCTTTGCACTGAGTGTGTCATGAGGTGGAGCTCTGGTGGGTCCATAATAGGTGGTATTGTGCTCACAGAGGCGCTCCGAACGCCTTCACTTTCTCAGCCTCGGTTTCCTCCTCTGTAATGTGGCTGTTGTGATAGCACCTGCCTCGTGGGCTTGCTGTGAGGACTGTGTGAGACAGTGTGTGTCAGGAGAGTGGCACAGCGTGAGCTGTCCTTGACTATTAGTAGGTGAGGACGAGGGCTGCTGCCTACAGTGGGCATCCTGCTCCCTGAGGAGGCCTCCATGCCCAACAACGGGCCACCTGGGTTACCTTGGGGAAGGGGTGTAGGTGACCGTGTCGCTTTTGTGGGGAAGGACCCTCAGGCTCAGGGACCAAGGCAGAGGCCCCGGGGACAGAGGTGCATGGAGGGAGGCAGTCCTTCCGGATTCCCAGCGGCGTCCGTCTGAGCCTGCGGAGCCCTGCCGCTGCTTGGTACTCGGGAGGCCTCTCTCCGGCCCAGGTTTCCAGGAAGGCCTGTGCTGCTGCTCCCGCGGGCTCTCGTTTGCAGAGTGGTTCTTCAGGATCTCTCACTCACGGGCCCTGTGTTCCTTCTGCTCTGCTGGCACGGGCGGGGGTCTGTGGGGTCCCCTCGTCCTTCTCGGCATCTCTCTCTCCCATGTGCTCGTCTTCCTGTTGCTCAGCTCCTCCTGGATCCAGGAAGAAGCGCCTGACCCACCGACAGCGCACATCACCGAGGCTTTCTGTGCATTTCAGTGGCTTGTTCTACTAGCTATTTACTGAGTACCTACCTTGTGTCAGGCACTTGGCACAGGGGTAGTGAATCAGCCCTGTGCCTACAGCAGTTCCTCAGAGCTGTGGGCAAATCAGCCCATCTCCCTGAGCTGTGGTTTCCTCATCTTGCAGATCGTAGGTGTTTGTGAGACTTAAAGAGACAGCAGCACACGGGAAATCGGGCTCAGCCCCTCCTGCCTCCATCCCTTTCCTGCACTTGCCGAGGTGGGGATGTCAGCCTTCCCAGCATCCACTTAGGTAAAATGCCTCACTACCATAATTGCGTGCTCATAGCAATGGTTTTTTTAAAAGTACTTCACTCTTCCGTTACTGTGAGCTGGTTACAGGCCCCTCCCCACCTTTGTGTCCCCCACCCCCAAATTTGGGAACTTGATATAAAGAAGTGGTTTTGTGCTTTTCCAAAGTGGAGAAGTGGGGGAGCGAACAAAGGTGGGCCAGATGTGTGGATGGGAGAGGCAGGGCAGAGGGGAGCGCGGCGGCTGCCAGCCTGCTCAGTGCCAGGGCCCAGCGCCCTTATCAGGCTGCAGCCCAGCCCTGTCCCAACAGGGCCCCTTCCAGCAGAGACAGTGTTTTGCCTCTTGGTTTTCTTTCTCACCTCCCAGACCATCCCCAGCACGTCTTCTGTGCTGAGCCGGAATTTCCTCTGCACACAGCTTCTGTGGGGAAGAGCTGTGTGCATCGCTGGTTCTTGTGTTCTTGACACAGGAAACCTTGATCAGGTGGCAGCTTCATGGGTGTGGCCCGCCCACTGGTCAGCCGGCCTGGCAGGTGAGCCAGACCATTGCTGACCATGACTTCTAGCAGGTTCTGTGCCTGAGAGAATTCTTCTGTGCTGGGAGAGGCAGGGGCTGAACGTGAACCCTTAGTGTGTGGCTCCCTCCAGGTCCTCATCATTTGCTTTGGGAGACGCCTCTTCACGCTGACCCAGGTCACACAAGTACTAGTTTAATCTTTTTTGGTGAAACAGGGTAAGTGGGGGAAGCTCTGTTCGCCACCCTGGGCTAATTGCGCCCATTAAATGAGTTCTGTGTTGCAGGGACAATGGGCTCTACACATTCCATTTCCCCCACCTCTCAAGCAAGGAGAAGACCTGGAAATCAAATATGTGCGAAAGTGAGTGCAATTCCAGTTATTGCAAAAAGGCCGCTAGAGAAAGGCGTGTAAACACGAGTCAATGGACAGAGAACAAAACAATTCGTATGCTTAAAAAAAAAAAAAATTGGATGGAAACCCATAATTACTTTAGGAGTTATGGCAATAAATTATTTATTAATGTAAATTATTTCGCAGGCACAGAACATAGAGGAAACTTGAGCAGAAGGACCATACATTATGTATAAAAAGGAATTGTAAAAATATTACAGCGGCCTTCCTTGTGCCGCTCGGTTCAGGTTTGTCAGCATTTTAATTATAAGCCCTTACTTTCCATGTTTAATTACTCGGCTGTTAAAGTCTACTCTGTACATAAAAGCGTTGTTCCCGGGGGCACTCTCTGTATTAATTTCTGCAGGGGAAACCAGTTGGCTGCGCCGAGCTGTGCCGCACTAAAACATGTCACTTTGGCTTTTTAACTCTACCACCACTCGTCCTTGCAAGTGGAATGTGATTGCACCTCGTACGAGAACGCTGGCATTTGGAGGCTAGGCATTTCAGATTTCTTAGAACAAACACATGACTGAAACGAAATGAGCAACAGCGGTAACGTCACCAGAGCTCCCGGGGCCCGGTCTCGGGCCTGTGCCGCGTTCTCCATGTCCCAGAGGTAGTAGCCGTTTTGAATATGGCTGTGGACCCGGGCCTTCCTTATCAGAAACTGATTATTAACCAAAACAGGCGAGAGTGAACCTTGTTTCCATTTTTTAAAGGACAGCGATATATACCTGAACCTAATATAAAATAATATTGTCAACTGTAATTGGAAGAAAAAAAAAAGGGCATCTATATACAAGTACGCATATGTAGAATTTTTAGACATTTACTTTTCATTTTTAATTTATTTTTATGTTTTGTGGTCATATATGTGACTTTTTTTCTTTTAGTCTCTAAAACAGTTTAAGGTTTGGTTTAAGATTTGTCTGTACAAAGCGCTTTAAGTTTTTTCTTGCACCATTTATTGGTGTCAGGAATAAAGTGCAGAATGGAAGTAGGTGCAAAGTGTGGTTGGCATGTGTGCTAGCTGTTTATGGTGACAAGTGAAAAGGGAGCCTCCCATGCTGCCTTCTCACCCAGGCTGGCCTGACTTGGGGTGGGGAGGGGGCCCCAATAGTGCCAGAGGACAGGGAATGACAGTTGCCACACTGGTTTTGGGTGCCACCCACCATGATGCATGGCCAGTTTCCCTTGTACGTGGAAATGTGGTCAAGTTCGGAGGCAGCCTGGCCCCCCTGCACGAGCCTGGCCTTGGGGTTGCTGACTGCCGTTGGCTGGCTGTGTGTCCATTGCCCAGATGTGACACAGTTCTGAAGCTCAGTGTCCCCACCAGGAGTGCTGTGATGCTCACGAGACGAGTCCTGTGCATGGAGTACACGCTCATGCTCTTTCTCAGCATCAGCAAGGACCCTGGTG